AAAACAATGTTCATAGATTTTTTAGTGATTAATGCTTAACATGATGCGTTGTTTTTCTTTACAGACTCTTGAAGTGCATGTGTTTCCAAGGTTATCAGTTTCTGAAATATAGTTTTAGTAGTGTAGTTCGCTCTTTATTGTTGCAGTGTCATATAGAAAATCACATTTCTTCAATGTCTTATTCATATTTTGATACAGACGATTTTTCTTTGTGTAAGATTCACAAGCTTTATATTCGCACATCAGCCTTCACATATTGTTATTGACTCTTCAGGTATTGTCTTACCGATAAAATACACCTTCAAGTTGTTGTTTATACTCATAAATCAAATGAAACTGATGTTGTACTAAGAAGAAAATTACAAATCACTTATTTCTTGACTAATCTGTATTCTTATCGCACTTTGAACTTTATCATTAGTATTAGCAATGTTTCTGCTCTTTTTTTCGAAAGTATTCATGTCACTACTTGGGATCTGCATTGAACGATGAAAAAAGAATATAGTGGATTGTTTTAGAGTAGAAAAGCTCTTTTCTGTTATCATCAAAGATTCAGGCAAGTCTTCTGATAACACCTATATTTTTCTATGAGAAACGAGAAGAGTTCGTTGCTTGAAACCAGTAGTTTTTTTGCTATTTCTATATTAATGTCTTCTTTGCTCAACGTTATAAGAAACACCGTGAAAAATGTCTGAATGTAATTACGCTATAAGACGTCGTGACTAGCAAAGAGTGTATTGTCATTAGAATGTTTTAGAAAAGACAAAACTCTAATAATTCTTGAATTCTATATTCATCCTAATTTGTAATACGGCGGTAGAAGTAAATCATTAGTGATTGACTAATATCTTACAAGAAATTTAACTTCGATTATCATAGTTAGGACCAATGAAGCAAATAAGAATATATATATGGCCTAAAGCAATGCTTGTACTTTTGTGAAGTAATTCAGACTGTCTACAAAACGAATTAATATTGATATTTTCAAAAAGTGATCATAACTGTATGAACTTCTAAATCATATAGAAAACGATAAATACTTAGTGGTTTTTATATCACAGTTGCCTTTTCAATATTATTCTATTCGATCTAAAAATTCAGCAGCCTGTTTTAAAAGAATAATCATCGTACCAAATAAAAAAATATCGATACTCACGTTTGAAAAGATTCAAATAATAACAATATAAAATATCGTAGATGGAACAAGCACTAACGACTCACTGATCTAATGACCAAATGATTAAATTTCTGACCACTTTTTGAAATAATTATCTCCATTTCTGTTCATCTAAGAAGTTAGGTTTTGAAATCAAAATATAATATGCATCCAAATTTTGAATAAAGCAAATCCATTAACTCCTCAATAGCAAGGTGATTATGATTATATATTATATTGTATCTTATATAAATAAACTCTTTTGTATTTAGGCTTTAACACTAATTAGTGTTCGCATGCATATGATTAAACTCTTGTTAGCAGCATTTCTGCATAGAATAGTGTACTTTATGCATCTGAATCAGCTCATATAACCCGTAATGTTGTCATTCTATTCGAAAAAAAGTATTTGTGTTGTATAATAATCTTTTTGTTTTCTCTCCACCAACTGAAAAATTTTGGAATTGCAACATCTGAGATCCATGTCTTTCATGAGCGTCATCAAGTATCCTTTTCATGAATTCAACAGTTTTTTTTTTACCTATAGGTACAATATATTGTCCTGGTTAAAAACTGTAAAGGATTTGAGTTTCTATCTTTTTCTTGAATGATTATGAATATTTTTGTAGTATCCTTCCAGTGCATAGCATTTAATATTAGAAAATTCGTCAGTCAATGAAAATACATACTAAAAGTTAGTAAATTATTTTTTCGATGTTATTTGACTTTTCTTATATTGACAAAATGTCAATGTTTTAATTCTTTTCTCTATCAACTTATAAAATTTCGTTTTCTGAATGAAAATTACACAGTACACTACTTCAAATAAAACGATCCATTGCCAACATCGTTGGTATTATATGAGTTGTGTAATCATTTTTATATTGTTCCAAGGTATTGTTCGATATTTGTCTAGTCACTGCACATTTTCTACATTCATTTCCTATTTTACTGGTATTTTTCATGCATTCTGTTATTAGCCATCTTCTATCATATGTGACATATATATATAGGCGTTCCAGATTCTATCTATAACAGGTATTTTCCTTTTCTTCACGATGTATTGTAATCAGTTGTCCATATAGATCTACGGGATTCTTCCCTTCTCACTTTTACTGTTGTTGAATGGGGTGTTTTCATTTGATGATCGAGGCTACCATCAGATATAGATATATAGCCGCTGATCGTCTATGGAAGATGTGATAAAGAGCACACGATAATTGACTTTATCATTGTTTTCCTTTCATCTATATCTTTACAAATGATTCACGTCTTAATCTCATTTATCTCAAAGCAGTAGAAAAGTTATTTCTACAAATACGTATTATCAACCATAGTAGAAATGGATCTTTTTATGAGAGGCAATGTGCTGTACAGTCTTCCTTCAGCAAATGAAATTGTATGACTCGACAACAAACAGAACTAAAACATGGATATTCCGGTCAATATAATAAGTCTATAAGCAATGTATTGGTGAATTTTAAAAAAAATACCTGAGGAGATTCTCTTATAAGACTAATCTTTAGATTCATCCATAAAAAGTGTACTTTTTCTGTTTTGTGTGAACAAGCACAACCACATCAAATGTTGATATGACTACAGCAAAATAATTTGAAAAAAGCAACATAAATATAAACAATTGCAATCACTACTGCTATACCAATACTTACAATACTTCAAATATACATATTGAGCATGTTTACTGTTTTTATCAGACTCAACAATATATAATCTAAATCCTATTACTACAAACATTCGATAACGAAAAAAAAATATAAATTACAATAGTTCACATGAGTTTAACAGTGATAATAGCTATATCTGTTGTATAATGAACCTTTAATTCAATGACAAATTATTAAAATAAGCGTAAAATACGTTGAACTTTTTTTTAATAAACGTTAAAAGCTTAATCTGTTGACGAATCGGTTCATCTTTACATATCAACCATGAATTTGAACCATGTTTCATTAAATCATGTAATGTCTTAGAAATTTCCACAATCTATCAACAAATCTTACTGTTGACCGATTTACTATTGTAGCTGATCAGGTGATTTATTTCTTGCTGAATACTCCATCAATATGATCAAAGAAAATACCTTCTACAGTTGAAAAACAGCTGACATTTTATCTCAGTTCATATGGACGAAGATGTCGAGTTCTCTTTCTTTCTCTCTTTTCTTCTTCTCCGGTCATCATAGGCGACGGCAGCATCGGTGGTCGAATAGAAAAAGAAGTAAAAAAAAAAAAATGCATACATAGACAAACTTATATTATTCGGGCAATTCTCTCTCGCCTATCGTTGACCTAGTCGTTCATCTATATCCCACTATATAAAGAGTGTGCAAACATGTCGAATAACTCAGATAGTAACAATCAACAACAACAACAACAACAAAATATGCGTTCAGTAAAATTACAAACAAATTTGTGTATATCACCATCATGTACTTTAACAAGTGAAATTATTTGTCGTCATTGTTCACAACAATATTGTAAATTATGTTTTATGTGTCATCGAAAAAATATTCTTGATGATATGCGATCAATATATGAACAAATGGAATTAAATCGTCGTGTAGGTGCTGCTGAAGTTATGTCATTTATTGATAAACAAGCAAAAGATGCACATGAACAAGCTAAAAAACTTATTGATGATGCTATTGATCGAATTGTTCAAGCAAGTAAAAATATATATACATATATTGAAAATCGTCGACAAGCTAAAGTAAATAATTTTATTTTATAAGAAAAAATAAAAATTTAATTGTTTTTAAAAATCTTTTTTTTTTTTTTTCAGCTTGGTCGATTAGATGAATGTTTAGAACAATTTGATAAAGATGCTGATTTACTTGAATTAAAAATAAAAGATCAAATCTTTTTACCAGCTAATATTATGTTAGATTTACGTCATAAATATGCATATAATATGTTTGATAAAATAACTTCAACAATTGATAATAAACCAGCTGAATTACAACGTAAAAATGAAATATTTTTTGATGATTATCGATATTATAAAGAATTAATTAATCTTCGACAAAAATGGACATTTTTTCAAGCTGCATTAACAACTGTTTATTATCCTATGAAAAAAGATATTTCTTTAGATAAAATTCTTACTTTTCTTGAATATCGTCATGTAAGTTAGAAGAGAGAAAGAACAAAAAAAAATTTTTTTTTTAATTTATTTTTCTTCAGGATCGCGTATTGGATAATTATCGAGAATTTTTATCAAAAAATGAAGATTCTAAAGGTAAACAAAAATAAACATGTTTGTTATTTTGTTTATATGAAATTTTTCTTTTAGAATTATCATTAAAACCAGCTGAAGACTTATTAAATGAATTAAGTTTTCTATCAAAAAAGAAATTATTAGCAGAGGTAAGCAATAATTTATAACCAAACAGGAGCAGTCACTTTCTAGTGAATCAGAAAAAATTTTACTTTCGATTATGATCTTAAGAAAGTCGATCTCCGCCTAAAAGAAACTGATTGCGACTTTTGTCTCAATCAAAGCAAACATTGATGTATATACGCAGGCCCGTAGCCAGGAATTTTCTGAGGGGTGCTAAAGCCCCCCCCAGCCACCCCCTTCCCTACGGCCCTGTATATACGTGTCCTGACCTTACAAATTTTGGTCTCAGTCTTATCCTGTCTGAAAGAAATCGGTCTCAACCAGAATAAGGATTTGATTCCAATCTCAATTTGAAAAAAATCGGTTCCGATCAGAAGAGACTTTGATCATGATTCTCTATGGATCCAAAAAATAATTTGCTACGAGTCTCTATCCGCATAAAAAACTCATTCCGATTCTACTGATAGCATCTTGTCTATATCTACTTCGAGGTTATTTTAATGAGAAATTTTATTTGTTTTCAGTGTGATAATTTTTCATATATTGATGAATATCAACACGAAACTCATATTGATGAACAATTATCTCATTCGGAATCTATTGTTAAAAATGGTGAAATCAAACAAGAAATGGAAATAATACCAAAAACTGATAGTGGTAATTGTGATGATGAAAGTGATTCAAATTCAGGTTCTAGTGATAGTTGGCAAATTACATATGGAGATGGAGAAGAAGAGGAAGAAGAAGATGATGATTATGACACACGATTTATGAAACTTAGTCAATCAATGAAAACACTTGAAAAACAATTCCAAAATGATTTACAACAAGTTGTCAACAATGATCAAACTAATTAAAATATTATCTTTATATTATATTGACTAGCAAACTGAATTTTCTTTTTTTCTGTGACTTCGCACGTCTCTGTTATGTTATATTTCTTTTCCTAATCTCCTCCAGTGTTCCTTTTTTTTTTCTTCCACAAATATTAAAAAATTTCTTTTACACATCGATGAAGAAAAGACTAATGACATAGTTAGAATAGATGATTCGTTTGATCATTTTTATTATTTTATGGAGGAGAAATTTGCAGAATATTATAAACATTCATATTCAATAAAAAAGAAATTTTAACTAATAGAATATCTCTTATTCTACTCAGTTACTATATGAATATCTAATTGGAAGACTATGAAAGTTTGTTTATGTAGCTTTTCAAAAAAGCCCTATTTTGAATGCAAATACTCTATTATAATACGTAGATATATTTAGGATTATGTATAACAACTTAACCTTGTAAATCTGATGCATCTTTGCATAATCTCACTTTTTTTCAGATTAGTTATCTACTATTTTTGACATGATTTCGAATCCTCTTAGTACACAGCAGACCGAGCAAAGTATTAAATTGTTTACACATAGATGGGAAACATGAGCTGAATGTACATTTCTATGAAAAAAATTATTTCTATTCCACGTTGTATTCCATGATTGATATCAAAATTGTATTCACAATGTAAAATCATTATATAAAACTTCCTTTTTGTACAAATTTAAAAGTTCAACAAAAATAAGTGTGTAGCTAATCTGAAGGAAGAATACTTGCACTCATCATATTTTTAAGGCTGAAGTTGTGCACAGAATCCTAAATATATCTACGTATTATAATAGAATACTTGGACTCAAATTATGACTTTTAGGAAAGCCGAGCACAAAAAAAAACTTTCTAGTGCCCAATCTAATTTGATGCAAAAATTTACAAGAATAATTTTCTTTTTGGATAATAATAGCATCAGAGAAAATAAATGATATAGAGTAAGTGGGGGTAAATGTAGAAAAAAAATCAGACGGGTTCAGTATATTAGCTATAACTTTTTTATTTTTCATTATTTCAAAAAATTTTCTTCACAAGTCATCTAGCTAACACTTTTCTCTATCGATTGGTGAAATCCATTTTTCAAAATCTTGTGAGCAGAGCTATCTACGAGGTGTTTTCTGGCTGCGAATTTTCGATTATACATTTACCCCGTCGGGGGTAAATGTATAATCACGTTGACGTCAGTGGGGTAAATGTATAATCCCAGCTATTTTTGCTGGTGTCAGTAAAACTAAACTTTTGAGCGATTGGTACTTTATTTTTTTCTCATTTTTTCACCAATCGATAGTTCAAATTCTTTTCTATCGATCTATATTAATCTTAAAATTATAAGTCCTAAATTCAATGTTTTATAGAGCTCAGAAACAGAGCACTAAACAAAAAATTTTTATACAATTACCCCATGTGGGGTAATTGTATAATCATCATTGCGCTTGTGGGGTAAATGTATAAACCCAGCTATTTTTGCTGGTATCAGTAAAACTAACTTTTTTTTAAGATAAAAAAAGATTTCAATGATATTTTTTTACAGAAATGTTCCTCATAAAAAACTACACAGGACCATACTATTTTTTTACTCATTTCTCTACTAATTCCTGAATGTAATAGGGATAGTACTCATAAAAATGGTAAAACAATGGAAAAGCCATTTTTTCATCAAGAATATTTTTCAAAAATAATTCCATATTCGGAATCAGCATTAAATTCTGAGTAAAATGATGTATTTGTTCCCTTCGAAAAACGACTTTTATTTTTTATCGAGTTTTTTGGCACCTGGGGGGGACCTCAGGGTCCCGTGAAAAAAAAATTTTCTTCAACTTTAGCCAATATTAGTAAATTTACCATCATTTTACTCAGAATTTAATGCTGATTCCGAATATGGAATTATTTTTGAAAAATATTCTTGATGAAAAAATGGCTTTTCCATTGTTTTACCATTTTTATGAGTACTATCCCTATTACATTCAGGAATTAGTAGAGAAATGAGTAAAAAAATAGTATGGTCCTGTGTAGTTTTTTATGAGGAACATTTCTGTAAAAAAATATCATTGAAATCTTTTTTTTATCTTAAAAAAAAGTTAGTTTTACTGATACCAGCAAAAATAGCTGGGTTTATACATTTACCCCACAAGCGCAATGATGATTATACAATTACCCCACATGGGGTAATTGTATAAAAATTTTTTGTTTAGTGCTCTGTTTCTGAGCTCTATAAAACATTGAATTTAGGACTTATAATTTTAAGATTAATATAGATCGATAGAAAAGAATTTGAACTATCGATTGGTGAAAAAATGAGAAAAAAATAAAGTACCAATCGCTCAAAAGTTTAGTTTTACTGACACCAGCAAAAATAGCTGGGATTATACATTTACCCCACTGACGTCAACGTGATTATACATTTACCCCCGACGGGGTAAATGTATAATCGAAAATTCGCAGCCAGAAAACACCTCGTAGATAGCTCTGCTCACAAGATTTTGAAAAATGGATTTCACCAATCGATAGAGAAAAGTGTTAGCTAGATGACTTGTGAAGAAAATTTTTTGAAATAATGAAAAATAAAAAAGTTATAGCTAATATACTGAACCCGTCTGATTTTTTTTCTACATTTACCCCCACTTACTCTATATATATTAAAGTGATTGTGAATGTGCTATAGCTTGCTTATGACAATTTATTGATGAGAACATAACTATAGTGTTCTTTATAATTTGATTTACATCATTGAGAAAAATTTCGATTTTTTTTTCTTGCTTGAGAAAAATTCATTACATAATTAAGTAGTACAAGTATAAATATATAATCGATAATTATATGCAAGTTTATTAGATTGATTTGTTCGATGAGAAGTATTACATAGAAGTCTAACAGTTTGTTATTTTTCATAGATACGATGTCTTGCATTTAGATTAATAAAAGAAAAACAAACAAAGTACATATATATTCACATAAGATTACTTCATCAACATACAAAAAACAAGAACGAAATGATAATGATGAATTGAAATGAGAAAAAGTGAAAATTATGATATGCTTTTATGAATATATATATATAAAGGTAATAGTTGATTAAGAACATTATGATGTCCATAACGGTTATTAATAGAATAATAATATATCTGACAACATTTTGAACGCATGAATTATTATAGAGTTAGATGGAAGTACGGAATATTATTACTAGTCTTTTTAGATAACATCATCACATATGTGAATAGTCCAATAGAACTGTTACAATGAGAATTGAATTATGAAGAAAAAAAAAACGAGATTAATACTATGTTAATCTCGTTAAGTGCAAGTGCAATCAAATGGAAGAATCAAGGTCGCATTAAAGGTTGTGACCCAAGCTACACAATTCAATGTAAAATTGTCAACTGATTCTAGAATTTATTATTAGCACTACATTAACAATATATAAAAAAGATTTGACACATAAATGGAATTGAAATTTGCAAATTTTATTACTGAAGGTTACATAGATAGTTGTGAATTATTATCAATAAATGGAAAATTTTTCTGGTAAATATTGCAGAAGAAAAAAAGAAAAAAAAATTCAAAAATGTAGTGAAGAATCACAATTAGAAGATGCAGAAGACAACAAAACGATGGGTAGGAGATTAGAGTGTCTTCTACTCGGATGGATGGATTGAATAAACAGTTATGAACATATTGTAATAGGTTGTGACAGAAGTTAGAGAAGTCTCGAAACAATTTATTTATGTCTGTGCTAAGTTGTGTCCACTGCGAAATGATTGAGTACAAGCTTTTTTTTTTTCATAGAGTGCAGATATGGTTTATCAACAATGGTTTTATTTGTTATATAACAAGCAATTAATTCTTGTTCATGTTTTTGGATATTTTTTAGGCACTCTTCTAGACTCTTCTCATACCTTTCTTTCAATGTAAAGAGTACACATTTTTTTATGAAGGTCCATATTAGAATATACAAAGATATGATATATTATTCGTAGACATTGTCTGCAAAATCTATTGATTGTCTCTATGAATGAACTTGAGAAAACACAATAGATTGTTGAGATAGAGTATAGATGCGGCCAGGTATACTTGTTTAAGAATAAATAGTTTGTCATAATATACAGTGATGATATACTAGTCATATTTTTTTAATATTAGAAATGCAGATCTATATAATAAAAAACTTTGAATGTCCATTATTTATACTTCTTATTATTAGAAAAATATATTGAATAATAAAAAGTAAAGAAAAAAGTTACTAAATAAATCATTTTATGTGAAACACGATCTAAGTGTTGAAATATTTACAGTAAAAATTTGCAACAGTCCCGTAGATCAGGACATACTGTCAAATGCGCATTAGAAATGGCTCTTTCTGGACATCTTAACAACGACACATTATAGAACATGATAAGTATCTTAGGAATGCTTCATTTCTCACTGAATCACTGACCACGATTGTTGTTGTTGATTTGCAATCAGAGATTATATATAAATCACATCTCGTTATCATATAAGAACTCTTTTCTTATTGTCTATCTAGAGAATTAAGTAAAAGAATGGTCAGGAAATGTGTCCCAAAATAGATAGAATAAAATAATCTCTCGGTAATTAGCGAATAGCAACTACATCGTGTTTTATATTTTAATTTCATAGAGATCACGTTAACAGATTCTATTGTTGAAACATTTCATCAACAAATAAAGTTAATATCATTAGTTAAAATATAAAACCTTCTATTTTCTCATCAAAAAGATAAACATCAGACTTTGCTTTTATTTTTAAAATAAGATACAATATCATTTATATTTTCTGACTATTCCTCTAAACTATAGTTGTTAATAAAATGTCTCTACAAAAGAAAAAGAAAAAGAACATATTTCATTCAATAATATTTTCTCTACTTATTATGATTAAATGTCTATAATTTGATAGTTTTAAAAATATTCAACAAATGTAAACCGTATGCCAATTAATAAGAAAAAAAAACTTTGATAA